GGGAACGACGAGGCTGATATCAAATCTAACCAGATTCCCACCCGAATCACCAAAAGGTTAGAACGTCACATTTGGGTGCCGCGACCGATACCAAGCCACTTGGTCGTCACAGGACGAGACAACACGACTGACGCGACAGGCGGACGTCACGTTTGGAGCGGCGACACCCGAACGGAGCAGCGAGGAGCGAGCGAAGGCTGTGTTTAGGGACGTCGCAGCTGACGCCGCGACCAAGGACGTCACAGCTGGCGCTGCGACAAGGACGTCACAGGAGATTATGTTAAATATTTATCATAATCATAATAAATTGGTCATAATCTAACTAATTGGGCATAATTATAATAATTAGTCCTAATCTAATCTATTAACCGTAATGATAATCAGCTGGTTATAATTTAATATATTGGATATAATTCTGATGATAGTTCATAATCCAATCTATTACTCGTAATTATAACGAATTGGTCATAATCTAATATATTGGTCGTAATCATAATGAACTGTCCAAAATCTAACCAATTGGTTATATTTGTAATAATTGAGTTTAATCTAATCAATTGGTCGTAATTATAATGACTTCTTCATAATTTAATCATAATCAACTGGTCATAATCTAATATATTGGTCATAGTCTAATATATTAGTCATAATCATAATGTAATGTCCAAAATCTAATCAATTGGATATATTTATAATAATTGAGTGTAATCTAGTAGGTTGGTCATAATTATAATGACTTGCTTATAATTTAACCTATTGATCATAATCCTAATCAAATGGTCATAATCTATTGTATTGGTCATAATTATAATCAACTGGTCATGATCTAATATATTGGATATATTTATAATAATACTTTATAATCTGATCTGTTGCTCATGAATATAATGAACTGTCAAAAATCTCATCAACAGGATTTATAATTAAGCGTAATCTAATCAATTCGCCATAATTATAATGACTTGCTATTAATTTAATCTATTGATCATAATCATAATCAATTGGTCATAATTTAATATATTAGCCATAATCAATTTAATAAATTCACCAAAGATGTACTTTGAAAATTCTATATTTTCAGTGGTTAGAATTCTTTCAAGGTTACTCTTGACTTTTTAGGTCTTAGATAAAATACGAGGAATGCATAAAATAGTTATTTAGGGAAAGGTTGAATGCGTAAAGAGGATGCTCTAAATCTTCATTTCCTAACTTATTCATCTTCATTAAAGAAACTCATGATGTGTTTCACGCAGTATCATCAATCAAATCTATAAACTCAGGCGCGTTATGTGATGCTTGAAAAATTCAATGCTCTCCGCGTCGATAACTCACCAATCTGAAGCCAGTTCAGCTCTTGTTCACACAGCCCAACATTTAGCTAAATGGTTCGTAATTAATTATCAATTAAGAGGAATAATCTGTATTCGCTACTAACGAATCTGAACTTTTCACCGTAGATAACGAAAAAAAAAATAAGAAGTTATATTCAATAATCCGATGGCTATTATTTGGGCTTTCTAAAAGGAACTGTCTTCATTTTATGTCAGTTTTATGACTTCTAAAAGAATTATTCTCTTACCCCCCACCACCACATATTCCGTTATAGTTTTCACCCAAAACTCTCTATTTCTTTGTAGCTCTTATTAAAATCATCATTGGTCAAAAAGGCGTAATGCAATTTTTTGATTATAGATGTTGGTCTTATTTTATTTAACCAGCAATTAAACCGGTGAAAAATCGACTGACCAAATTAAGTATCTGTCTATATTTCTGAGATGAGGTATTATGTACACTATTTACATTATTCGGACTATTGTCCTCATCTTTGTTGCCATATTTATCACAACGTTTCGGCCGTTGTACGCCCACGCCTTCTTCAGGTGGTTGGAATGTCGAACTGAACCCTTTATTTCGCTTGCTGGGGTAGACTGTTCTAGTTCCATGTGCCATGTCTAATGAATGTTAGTTGTCAGTTATCTCCTGTTAATTCACCTCTCCAAGTTTTCCACTTCCTCAACCAAGTATTGAACTCACAACTCTTTGGGTCCTGTCACTGGATCTAACCAACGCCTTTATCCACTGTGCCATGTGTCCTTAAGGCACAGTGGATAAAGTAGAACAGCAAGTTGGAGATTCATTGTGGGATTCACTTGATTCACTTCTAACAGCTGACTACTTCTTCTACGCGCCGCTGTCGAATCTTATAAGCGTTGTTCTTGTCCTAAGTATTATCGTTCATTACCAACCTTCATTTGATTATTTTATTCAGTAACCTTCCCTAGGTTACAACATTATTATTATTATCACTATCATCATCATCATCATTCGATTTCTGCTATGGACACACTACCTACCAAGTCTGCGGAAAGACCTAAGGCAGGTCGTGGTGTGTTGTTAGCCACATTTCATGTTAATTTTTTTTTTTTTTTTTTTTTTTTATCTCCGATGAAGTTGCTAGCGTTACATAGACAAAGTTCTCCTTAGTGTGTGTGCTGTACTTAATAAGACAATTTTCTGTATGTCTCTTAAGCTGGGGTTTCAGGGATTCTTTCAATGTGTTGTTTTGTTCCATTTTTATAATTCCAAGTGCACCTATTACCACTGGTATTATTCTTGTTTTCAATTTCACATTTTTTCTATTTCAATTTCCAGGTCTTTGTATTTTGATAGTTTTTCAAATTCCTTGGTTGCTATGTTACAATCCGCTGGACAAGCCATATCAATTAGTAGGCAAGTTTTTTTTTTCTGGTTTTTTGACAATGATGTCCGGCCTATTTGCTTCAATTTTTCTGTCTGTGTGGATGGTATAATCCCATAGAATGGTGACATCTTCTATTTCTGTAACCGGCGCTGGCCGATGTTCATACCAGTGTTTGCTTACACATTTTCCAAAGTGTTTGCACATTGTCCAGTGTAAGTATTGCCCCACTCTATCGTGACGATTTTTATATTCATTTGGGGCAAGTATAGAACATCCTGAGATTAGATGGTCTATTGTTTCTTGGTATTTGTCACAGAACCTGCATTTTGGATCCACATTATTATGTATGATATTTGCCTGAAAATTCCTAGTGAAAAGACTCTGGTCTTGCGCTGCAAGAATAAAAGCCTTCAGTTTCAGACTTTAATCCAGATGCTCGTAACCATCGATGAGTATTAACTTTATCAACATTGGGTTTATTTGCACGTTCTGGATATTGGCCATGCAGAGGTTTGTCTTGCCAGCGTTGTTTCATCTGTTCAAGGGCTTTATCCTTGGCTTTCTTTTTCATATCTTTTGCTGCAATAGTTGGTTCTTGGCTTCTGTTTTGATTTACTACAGAATCTACTAAATGTAAATGTTGTTTGTATTTACTGCCTTCTTTTATTATTGAATTTTTTTTTTCTTTCTGTTTTCATGTTGTTTCACTAATTTTATCATCCAGTCATTTGTTGTTTCCATGTAAGTTAGTAAGCCAATATTGACAATTCTAGCTGAATAAGACCTCTTCCACCTTCTTTACGGGGTATGTATAGACGGTCTACATTTTGGATGATGCATCTTTATACTTAGAAAGAAGCTTTCTTGTTTTAGAATCCATTTGTCTGATGTCATTTAGAGTCCAGTTCAAGATGTTGAAACTATATTGGACCACTGGGATGGCAAAGGTTATTAATGGCCATAATTCTGTTCTGAGAATTCAATTCAGTTTTTAATACCAGTCGTACCCTTCTATAGTACTCTTTACTCTTTTATTTCTTTCATTTTCTTATGGTGAATTCCTTCACTCTCATTTACACCTAGGTACTTATAAGCTTCTCCTTGTTCTAAATCTTTTATTGTTACAGCAGGGTCTAAACTAATAGAGGAAGTTTGTTGTAGCGATCCTCGTAAAACTGTAGCTTTAGCACATTTATCCAAATTGAATTTCATTCCAATGTCTTCACTGAAGCATTTTTACAGTTTGCAGAAGACCTTCCAGCTCATTGTCATTCCTAGCATACAATTTTAAGTCATCCATGTAAAATAGATGGTTTATTTTATTTTATTATTATTATTATTATTATTATTATTATTATTTCCTTTTATTTCTAGTGTGTACACATTTCTTTCCAGGTCCCGCTCAGAGACCTAAGGTTAGAAATGGCATCGTGACATTTTTCACTGACCAATTAAAGTGAAAAACACACACACACAAACATATTTTACATAGATATCGTCCTTCGTAATGTCCGGGCTGTACTCGTGAGAACAATTTTTTTTGTATTTCATTGTATATATTTTTGTATATACTTATTATTATTATTATTATTATTATTATTGTTGTTGTTGTTGTTGTTGTTGTTAGTAATCTGATATATTGGTCAAAATCATAAATCTAATATAACATCATTATCGTAATCAATTGGTCATAATCTAATGTTTATTGATTGTTGTTACTCTTATTATTTCCTTTTATTTCCGCTGTATATACATTTTCTTCCGGATCCCAACCAGAGACCTAAGGTCAGAAATGGCTTCATGACATTTTCCACTGATGATATTTATGAAAAAAAAAAAAAAACTAAGAAGATACACATTTTACATAGATAAAGCTCCTCTTAAGGTGTGAGCTGTACTTTTGAGTACATTCTTTTGTATTTCTTTAACGCATGGGCTGCCAGGAATCCCTTCAATGAATTTATTGGAATATTTTCCAATCAATCCGAGAGCTCCAACTACAAATGGAATTATTGATGTTCTTATGTGCCACATTGTTGCGATTTCCACTTCAATATCATATTTTTTTTTGGAGATCAGAGGAGGTATCAAATCAAATACTACTAATGATCATGATGTTGAACTGTTTGAGAAATCATTTTAAATACGTCCGTTAGAGACAGCTTGCAAGACATTTTGTAAACAATAACGTTCGCAGTAGGAACAGAAGTGAAGTTTTTTTATCGAGTGATGCCGTCACGTATTAACCCAAAAGAAACACAAGTGGCTAGCTTGATTGGGGTGGGGGGAACTATTTCACCTGACGTTATCAGACACAGGGAAAGAAAGAAAAGTATCAACCACTTCAAAAAAGAAACAAGGAATCATGGCTAATCACATTTAATAATCAGAAAATTATTTTTCTGACGTAAATCAATTGTTCTTTTGTGATGTTTATGACAAACTCGATGCGATATCAACAGATATTACCAACAACGAAGTGACAGGTTAGTGGTTATAACATTCGAATAAAAACAGTTTTTCTTATTTACTAACCGTAGCTTCTGACACGCGATGCCAAATGGAGTTAAAAATACAAAAAAAAATTGTGTTGGATAAATTTTCCAAATAGTACAACTTGTTGTAAAATGCAACATTCGAAGTTGTGGCTTATAAACCGGGCTCAAATTCTGTTCACTGTCGCCAACGGATAGAAGCTCGGTATTAGAACTCGGGGAGCCGAGTTCGAATTCCAGTCGGGTTCATTACATTCACATATGTGAAAATGAATCCTTCTCTTGCCAGCTAGGATCATTTTTTTCAGTGCTATGCATCCTCCTCCTCCTATTATTATTATTATCATTATTATTATTATATTTCCATTGATTTCTAAGGTCAGAAATGGCATCATGGCATTATCCACTGACCAATTAAAAAACAGACAAACACACATATTTTCCATAGATAAAGCCCTTCGTAAGCAATCCGATGTTTCCAACTACAGCAAGGATTGTTGATGTTCGCATGTCCCACATTTTTGTGATTTTGATTTCAAGGTCCTTGTATTTTGATAGCTTTTTAAAGATCTTCAAAGATACATTGCACTCTTCAGTGACTGCCATATCAATAAGGATGCAATTTTTTTGTTTGCGGTCTCTAAAAACAATGTCTGGGCGGTGAGTTTTGATTGTTCTGTCTGTGTGCATTGTGTATTCCCATAAAATTGTTACAGGTTATATATCCGTAACCAGGTCGGGGTGGTGTTCATACCAATGTCTTACAATTTACATTCTGTAAAAGTTGCAGATTTTCCAGTGCAGATATTGGCCCATTCTGTCACGCCAGGTTTTATATTCAGTGGGTGCCAATCCCGTGCAAAATGATACAAGTTGATCAATTGTTTCTAAATGTTTATCACAAAATCTGCTTTTATTATTTCTTTGGATTTCGGTTGTATACACATTACCTTCCGGGTCCCAACCAGAGACCTCAGGCCAGAAATGGCTTCATGGCATTTTCCAGTTATCATTTTTTGTAAAAAAAAAATAAAAAAATAATTAAAATCACACACATTTTACTGAGATAAAACTCTTCGTAATGTGTGAGCTGTACTTTTGAGAAAATTTGTTTGTATTTTTTTTAATGCTTTCTTTAAGGCATGGGCTACCGGGAATCCTTTTCATGAGCCTATCGGATCCTTTTTCTAATCAATCCGAGGGATCCAACTATAACTGGAATTATTGATGTCCTCATGTACGATATTTTTTAGATTTCCGTTTCAAGATCCTTATATTTTACAGTTTTTTTAAGATCTTCAAACATACATTACAAACTAAAGGGACTACCATGTCAATAAGAAAGCACATTCTTTTCTTATGGTCACGATGCGTGGGCAATTAGTTTTGATTCTTCTGTGTGTATTGTAAAGTCCCATAAAAGTGTTACAGATCCTATCTCTGTAACCGAGTGTGCATAATGGTCATACAAGTTGGTTACAGATTCTTTACCATAAAAGTTGTATATTTTCCAGTACCAATATTGACCCACTCTATAACATATATATATATATACACACACACACACACACACACACACACACACACACACACATATATATATATATATATATATATATATATATATATATATATATATGTGTGTGTGTGTGTATATATATATATATATATATTAAGCAAATCACCCTAAGCAAGGCGGGTGTGCCACTAGCACTCAAGGGCTTACAGAGAGTGAGAGTAAGAGTAAAGAGGAGTGTTTGGGAAAAGGATAAAGAGAAGGACAGGGGTCAAGGTCAAGGTCAAGGTATTTGAAGATATCGATTGACATTACATTTGAGTATTTGAAGATTATAGCTATCAGAGAAGCAAGTAAGAGGAAGGGAGATCCACAGATGGGAAGTGCTAGTCATGAAGCTATTGGAGTAGAAGAGATTGCTACATTTAACAGTTTTGACAGTGAAAGGGTGGGACTGAGATTCCAACCTAGTAGCACGCTTAAATTCATGCAGTTTGGGAACCAGTGAATGTACCTCGTCGGAGCAGTTAACACTGCAACAATCTAATGCACAGGTCAAAATTATAAATTTAGCATCATTATCGTAATCGGTTGGTCATTCATAACCTAATCTATTATTATTATTATTATTATTATTGCTAATAATCTAATATATTGCTCATAATCCTATCCAGTTATTCAAATTCTAACTTTTAGTCATTATCATAAAGATTTTGTTATAATCTTATGTATTTTTCGTAATCGTAAACAATTTGTCAATATTCTAAAATATTGGTCATAATCATAATCTCTTTGATATGATCATCTTCAGTGGTTAGAATACGGTCTGTTGGACATAATCATAATCTAATCTATTCGTCATAATCTAATCTATTTATCATAATTATAATGAATTTTTCATCATGTAATCTGTTGGTCATAATAAGTTTATGATAAACCTGATAAATTAGTTAAAATCTGCTGAAACTCGGCCTTTTGGCTGGGGGTTTTTGACAAATAATGGATGGTTTCTTGGCCGAAGGCTGATATTCGATCAAGGCTTTGACTAGCTTGGACTGGCTCCGGCCTGGACCTGTTAGGACAAGTCATGACCAGCTTGGACAAGCTATGACCAATTTTGACCAGTGGCCTTTGAGTGGAAACACTCGGGTCTCCCACGTTAATCGACCTTGTGTCACATCTTGACTTAGTGGGAGTCAAGTAAATACTAACTAACACGTGATCAAAGTGTAGTATCTGTTCCGCGGAAATGACCAGCTAAGACTAGCTTTGTGTCCGATTCCGTGTAAGCAGGGCCTAGGTAAATTTTGACCCATAACCTGAGTGTACGCGGCCTGGGTTTCTCACGTTAAATAAATGACCTTGTGTCTCATCCCGTAAATACCCACGCTTCAAAATTTCCATAAGTGAATATCGGTTTGATGTACGGAAGTGCACTAAACCTGTTACGTTGCCAAACTTGAATCTTCTTTTTATTTTAACCCAAACTTGTTTTTAGCAAAAAACGAAAGAAAATTTTCTTTTTATAGGATTCCATATTTTATATAAATCATTGTCAGCCATTTTTAATGCAGTGCTATTATTTACAACGCAACTTGTTTGCCATTCATTTGCATCCGCAGTGATTGCACCAGGTGCAACCACACATAGAGTTTCTATGGTAAAACACTGAGGAATAATGGTAAGAATGTATATATATATATATATATATATATATATATATATATATATATAGTCTCAGTCTTTTAGTGGAGTAATTCATTTACTTGATTAGATTTTTTAACGTTCCTTCAACAATCACAGATTCAGGGACACTAACGGCAAAGGTTCTGCTTGAGAGAAAATTTAAATCGTGACTCTATCGAAACATCCATCGGCAAGCAGCCAAGTCCTAAATTCAAATGATGTGTCAGCAAATGTCATCCGAGAATAACACCTAACAATAGCCCGATAAATATCGTTATGGCATTTGGGTTAGTATCTTTTATTCGGTAATAACACTTTTCTCCTCTGAAAGCTTCCATTTTCAACCACCATTTGCCTTCCCTGTCAACGAGTCCTACAATAAGCAGATGGTATCTCCTGCCGAAGGTTTAAACCTTCCTGAAAGGGGCCATCTACCAAGATTTGTTTTTACATCTTATTAATCCATAATGAGTTATGTAAAGCCGAAACATATTTTTGGATTGTACTTGGATTGACTTTTTTTTTATTTTTTTTTTTTTTTTGAGAGTGAATACCGTACTTATTCGTGTAACGTGCGATATAACATATATCTCTTTGGATTTCAAAATAGATGAGGTGCCTAAAAGCGTAAATCTTCTTTGTGGTCAGAACGCTCTCGCTAAGTTTTTCTAGAGTTCTTGGACTCCATTCTAACCTTCATGTTCGATATCTTTCTCAGCTCTTGAATATTTTACGTTATTTCGTAATGTAATTTATAGTTTTTTCTGTGTACACCGGAAACTTCCCGAACTAGAATTTGTTTTCATCACCGGACATCTCTATCTATAAAAGGCAGGATGTGTGTGTGTGTGTGTGTGTGTGCGTGTGTGTGTGTGTGTGTGTGTGTGTGCAACGAATGCACGGCCGCAATTTTCGACGGTTTTGCACCAAAATTTACATGCACATGCTCCAAGTTAGCGAAAAGGCCAACACTGACTTTGCATTTCCCAACTCCCATCGATAGTGGAAATAATCGATTTTTTTTATGATTCTACGGCACTTTTTATGTAGTTTGCGGCCATTTTCTACTGGCCAGAGTGAGAGCCAATAGCTGACTGCCACGAATAGGCGGGAAGATTCTATTGGCCAGCTTGAGCTCCAAAAGCTGACCTTCACGAATACTAACTAGCATGCTAGCATGCAAAAAAAAAAAAAATCGATAGCTGCATTTGTCACAAGTGGGAAAAATTTAAATCTGCATGGCACTTTACTCCAATTGGCTGATTCGCTTGCTTAAACTCAACGTTGATTCTGATTCCGCAGAACTGGGTTGGGTGTGAAAAAGTATTTGTTGTTAACATTCTTTTTTCATTCGTTTTTTCCAGTTACGGGTACTTTTTTTTAAAGCTGATCGTTTTGTGTTCATTTTGTTTAGTTCTTTTTTCGTAACAGATTTAATGTTTAGTATAGAGCTTAGAAAAAATTCGCAGTGTGAGATAGGCAAGAAGTAAGGCATGTAGCAACATCGGCACGGCAAAGGGCACTCCTTTAAAGGCAAGGAAGGGCAAAAATATTTTAAGTCAAGTGATAGCGATTGCTGTATGAGTCGTACGATTTTTGAATCAAGGACGGGCAACGCCGGGTGATGCTGCTAGTGATCTTTAAATTTCCTTTCTTGAAGGTATTGTTTGTTCTGGATGCCGAAATCCCCAGCGTACTTTTGGATTTTTTTTTCTGTCACATGACAATAGAGAATTTTTGTTGATACAATTTGTCATCTAAACCCGTATGCACAGTTGCCATATAGTGGAGCCAATTTGTTACATTAACCGATGATAAGGTTGATCCGTAAATTAGACATATACCATGTATAGTCGGGGCACCTCGAGGCGGTGTAAGGGTTAGCAACCTTGTCTCGCTAGAACAATTACGACTGAGTAGTGAGTTCGATCCTCACTGGGTGCTCCAGACTTTCGCTTTTGTGCCGCATCAAAGCTATACTTGGGCAATCAAAGAGCGCTTACGGTCAAATCACGCTGAAAACACCGGTTCTCGTTCGATCACCGAAGTTAAGCATCGTAGTGCCAGGTCAGTCCTTAGATGGGGGACCGCTTGGGAACACCTGGTACTGTAAACCCCCAAAGTCCAACCCTTACCTCACAGTCGGTGGCGGGGTGTAAACGGTAGTGTCAGAGCTATTCCGCCCGGAACTTCGTTCCTGGTAGGGCCACCCAAGGCGGACAGGTCTGACATACACGCCGGCTAACAAGGGCTCTGGTGAAAATCCAAGGAGCGTCCGCATCGGTAACCGGCGGCTTCTGGTTGTTCCTGTCTCTGCGTCTGTGGGAACCCCGCGGCAAGCAAGAACGTTAACCGAGTAGGCCTGGGTACCCTACTTCTGTAATTTATCCCAAGAATCTTCTTCTCACAAAAAGCCGGCTCAATCCGCCCAGGGTGAATGCCGTATCAGTACAGTACAGTAGTAGTAATCAAAGAGCACATCGATTTGGTGTAATGGTTAGCAAGCTTGTCTCGCTAGAACAATTACGATTGAGTAGTGAGTTCGATCTTCACTAGGCGCTCCATACTTTCGGCTTTGTCTCACATCTGAGCTACGCTTTGAAAATCACTCTACCATGTATACTCATGTAACATACGATCTCTCCTAACGTACGACCTCAAAATTTTCACCTATAAAAAATGGTTTATCATGCGAGTTCCTTTTGTGAGAGACCAAATTACAATAGACTAACCTCTTTTCCTCGTTCTTTATATCCCATCTTCTAGTCAAATAAGTTTTAAAAAATAAAAGAGAATGATAAAAGTATCGTTAGTAACTCTATACTCGTTGCGTAAAGGCGTAAAGTCATAAACAACTGAACGAGAAACAGCTAAACATCTTATAAACAATGGAAAAGGTGCATATTCGCTATGTTTGTATTTTTTAATACGATACTAATATGTGAATATTTTTTGTGATGCCAACGAACACTCGTTTGACACTTTTGTAATGTCAACGAATACTCGTTGTCACTTTCGTAATGCTCGTTGTAGTAGAGACTTTGTAATCGCAGATACAACTATAGTAACGCCGTTGAACAATACTGGTGTCAGACGCCTTCGAATATCACTCACAGTAATAGTACTTCCTCGATAATACTCGCTCGAATAGTGCACCGTATCAATCAGTTATGTTCCATGCGTGATACACGCTTAGGCGATCATGTACTTTTCGATATATGACTGACGACGCAGATTTTTCCCCGCCGAACTTACTGCGGTAGATTAGTTGACTTCCAAGGCGACAGAAACCGGTCAATCTTGCTATTTACCCATAGCTTGGATGGGTGGGGTTAGAAGAATAGGATTCATATCTAATTCAAGGGTATTTAGCATGTAAGTGAAAGTAATGGATTTGACTGGAATTCAAACTATCCATTAATAATGATCCGAAAAGAGAAATAGTATAATGAATAGAGTAGAGAATGGCGGTCCTTATATTATAGAGGATAGACTAGAAATAGAAATCAGTTAGACGTCACGCGACTTCCTACTTATGCGTTTCTTCTATGGTCACGTGATCACCTTAATTCAATAATGGGATCGCCTGTGTTTTTTTACTAGCGATCTATGTTCAAACTCAAGTGTCGGCAGCGACACTTTATATAACAATGCATTATTATTTGATACAGTTAAGTAAAATATCAGTTTTATCAAAATCATGTTTATTTTAAATACAGCTGTACACTTTCACTACAGTAAATGGGTATATATATGGTTTGGTCAACGGCGTAGCCAAAGCCTGTAGTACATACGTTAATTTTATATCTCGTGTATAATACGGCCCTCTTAAAACTAGGTTCAAAATTGAGTCTTCAAAAGTCGCGTGATACGCGAGTATACACGGTATATCATTAATATTGTTTTGAGGATGACAATGATTTTTTTCCAGATACAAGTCCTACTATTTAACCCATAGATAGACAATCTATAAATTTCATAGTAAAATTGAAAAGATAACATGCATTACCAAACATTTTTTAAAATATAAAAGAAAAACAATTTGCTATGATTTCTTGAGTCATACCTCTCCAAACGTCCTGCCATGTAAATGCTCAAAGACTCAAGTATTTATTTATTGATTAGTTTTTTACGGCTTATCAACCCTTTGAAGGGTATTTAAAGCCAGAAAATATTTTTACATTATAAGAATTTTTGTTCATTTTTTTTTAGATAATAATGATTCAGTGATATAATTTTTACTAATTAACCCTTAGCTAGGGGGAAAGAAGTGGAGTTATATCTTTCCCAATTGTATATTCAAGTAAGTAAATATAACGAAACCCAAGTGGAATTGGAACTCAGCTCTCCGATTAACAATTCAGAGCTACCCGAATTTCCTGGTATTCCCAAGCAGTCACCCTTCTAGGTACTAGACAGGCATGATGTTGCTTAATTTTGGTGATCATGCGGAAACCAGTGTTTCAACGTGATACGGCCGTAAGCCCATTATACCAACTGTATATCCAATCTTATAATGCCTGTTATTCCCAAGCGATCACCCATCTAGGTACTGACCAGGCTCGATGTTGCTTAACTTCGGTGATCGTGCGGGAAATTTTCAACTGTCACCCATCCAAATATTGACGACGTCTGAAACCGTTTAAACTTTAGGGTACTTTCAGCTATCGTTGGTCATTTTCAAGGAAAGAAATAGAAGTCGAGAGATAAGCAGCCAAACGCTGATGCTGCAAATGGTGTCGAAGTTTGAAATGAACGTGGGTTCAAATACTATTGGTAGTGGAATAAGTTATAGCGTCACGTGACTAAGATGACCTTTACTTTTGAGGTTTTTCCTCGACATCCAAACGACTTATTCGACACCATACGAAATTCGCCAAAAGCTTTAACAGACATTCCATGTCCGTTAATATTTGCTGTGTTTATGGAGGAAGATAGATTGTACATACAATGTGGACAACAAAATCGACAAGCGATCATTATTATGAAAGTGGTTTTAAGCACTGAACGTAGATGTTAATAACAACAACGCATGCGCATATATTTTCAAACATGTTTAAAAATCAGCAAAATTAGAAAAATAAAGATACTTCCAATCAAAAAATCACAAACGGGGGTGTTTTGATTCGCCATCATTTGTTGGATTTCGATATTTTTAATCTCTGTAGAAATTAACAATCGATAATTTTGTATCGGAAACAAATGGCAGCCGGAAAAAAAAACTTTTCCCAAGCGCAAAAATGCGCGCAAACTAGCAGGCTTGAATGATGGCATTAATGTCTTGTTTTATTTTTGAAAATATGTTTGCTTTGTTTTGTCAGCGAATCAGTGCAATTGTGGATAGAATACTTGCTTATAGGTTTGATGGGCGCGAATCACTCGAATTCTTTAAAGTACATTTCATGTAATTGATTATCACAAACTGATTTCTCATTGATAAAATCAAAGCCTACGCAGTGTTCTTTCTTTAAAATATTGCGTTAATAACTAATAAAATACTCATATCCACGCATACTAACAAACATACACACTTGAATATTTATATAGAGTAGGCAAGTGAATGACAAAATAGAAAAAAAATAATAAAAAAAAAAAAATCCGGAATAATTAAAATTATCAATTTAAAAATTCTTGGAGATTTGTAACCCCCTTCATTGATATGATCAAGAAAAATACGAGATCTGATTTTAAAAAAAAAATGTATCGAGACTGGTGTTGTAAAAATAAAACTACAACACAGAACAATTCGATATTTAATCTCCTTCGAAGTAGTCCACTTTATTCCGTTTTGTTTCCATTGATGGACGCATTCCTGGAACTCCATTTTTTTCGGGGCGGGTGATCAGCTGTCTTGTCACATTCTCCTGTATTTCATCGACGATCCGAAATCTTGTTCTTTTCAAATGAGATTTGATTATTTTAAAGAAGGAAAAAGTCGTAAATGATGAGACCTTTGGGAATAACGTCGTTGTCGGACCTGAGGAATTTTCTACGTGGTCAAAACACCGCCTCACAAGCCATAGTAACTGATGGAGCCTTTGTGTCGTCGTGAGACGACCACATTCTACACACTTTCCTTCTAAGTACTGCTATAAATAACGGAAGTGAGCGATAACGTTATAAATGTGTATGCGCGACAGAGTTCAAGACTGTGCCAGGCTGCTTCTCTCTGCCAGTCTGTAGCAACAGTCCCGATATTTTTTGATAAGACCTCGTACATTGAAAATCCTTTTTTTTCTCCAATATCCTAATTCTGTGATATACAGCGGGAAAAAAACAAAGTATACATAATCCGTAAAAACAAAACAAAAAAAAACGAATATAACACAAGTGACCTTGATAAAACTACGTTAAATTTTATTATAAAATTTGCACCAACTACGTCAAAAACAATAAGAGATTTAATAAGCGCAGATTAAAATAATAAAAACACTAAATCTGAAGCAAGAATTTATGAAAGAAATTGCAAAAAATCCCACAAGCAATATATAGATAAGACATCAAGGAATTTAACATATTGACTGCCAACAACGAGTTATCTAGAGGCTAGCAGTTTTTATTATAGCGCCAACAACAAGACTCCGAGGTATTTCATGCTTGGTATTATCTGATATATTTCCATCTGCAGGTGCCAACGACTTTATTTACAGTGATACACTTTCAGTGTGAAAACAATGTTAATACTTCAGTTGAAGCTAGAAATCAACTCATAAAAAAATTCTTTAGTTGGCTATAACGAAATTGAAGACAGATATCGTCATTTTTTCTTTCTCATTGATAAAATGAAAGCTTACTCAATGTTTTCTTCAAAAAAATTGCGGTTAATAACTAAAAATTCGCATATCCACGCATACTTACAAACATGCACACTTGCATACTTATATAGAATAGGCAAGTCAGTGACAAAACAGAAAATAAATAATAAAATCCGTAATAATTAGAATAATCAATTTAAAAGCTCTTGGGGATATTTAAACCTCATTATTGATATGATGAAGAAAAATACGAAGCCTGATCAAAAAGTATCGGGGCGGTACAAAGCCTTGGGGCCACTTGACATAAACAGATAGAGAAAACGGTACAGCTTATGCAGATATCTACGGAAGATGACGGTTAACCCTAGACTAGACACAGGACAAGATTGTAGTATTCGGGGAAGTAGCCTCTTGGAAATCGATTCCACAAGACAACAGTTCGTAGGAAGAAGCTGTTTGAGTGGAACTTACATCTAACCAGAGAGATATGAAGGGAATGAAGCTGGTTCGCTACAATGTGTCTGGCATGGCGGCTCTTTGTCGTGAAGGTTAAGACTGGGGAAACAAAGGAGTGTAGTTCATCTGAACACTCACCATGGCAATAGCGACAGAGCAGTGAGAGGCTTGTTACGTCCCATCTGTAGGAAAGGGTTGCAGTGTGGAAAATAATTCGTCGCATTAGGATTCTATCGAGACGGGAGAGTGAAGACTGATGAACATAAAAGGGATCTATTACAAAATAATGCACACGATGCAGTTTTAATTTCAATTCAGTTTTTATGTTCATTTATTTAAGGGTTACTTATCCACATTGGTTCAGTTTTAATTTAACAACCAAACAAAATGAAAGAACACCTTCATGACAATAATCCATATAATATCCGACAATTTCTTAAACCTGTAATTACAAAATATAACTTCAACAAAACTGCAACACGAAACACACATAGCCTGTAGTCATCATATCCGCACAAATACGTATATGCACAGAAGCTGAGTATCATCTACCATGTATTCAGTTGTGAAAGCAGAATAACATATTTTTATTACTTCAAAGCTCCGATACATGACTGACGAGGCAGATTTTTCCTGCAGTAGGTTGCCATTTCTTTCTGCGGTAGGTCAGTTGCCATCCAAGGCTATAGAAATCGGTCTGTTCTACTATTTACCCATAGCTGGGGGGAGAGGTAGAGGATTCCTACCTTTCCCAAGGGTATTAGCACGTAAGTGAATGTAATGGATTTGACTGGGATTCGAACTCGGCAGCATACCATAAACCATATTTTTTTTTATCATATCCGTATATATGTATAAATAATACCAGATCCGTGGGTGGTAGGGATTATCTCACCGGGGTCTTTTTAATATAAATTTTAGCAAAAATATTTTTTAATAAAAAAAACTCCATGATGAGAGCTCATTGTATAAATTCAACAATATAAATAAATAAATAAATAATAAGGAAAAGACTTAATTAGTCATCATATAAACAGTTATAAATTTATAAATTATATATATATATATATATATATATATATATATATATATATATATATATATATATATATATATATATACCTGCCTCATCAGACTTACTAAATGATATTAAATTCAGCCAGATCATTTGATAAGCAACAGACATTTTAAAAAAATGAGGTAGCAATTTTAACTTGACCGTAAAAAATATGAGGGGGGGGGGTCTTACACTGTTGAAGAGAGAGAAGTGGGGGAAGGAAAACATGTTTGCACATAGGAGTAAGGGAAGGTAGGGCAAGATGTTTTATGGGTAAAACTTTAACTGCGAAACCAGTAATAAAAATCACGGAAATGCAATCTATGTTGTTATTCATTTAAACATCATCATCATCATCATCATCGTAATCATCATCGTAATCATAATAATAATAATAATTCAAAAAAATATTTAATATAAAATTTAAAGAAGGTGAAAAAAATAATAATAGTAATACCTATAATGTAAGCATAAATGATTAAATACATCTAAAAACATATTTATGCGCGGTACACACACACACACACACACACACACATATATATATATATATATTTAGTACGTACATATATATACACATATACATAATTACAGACCTATTCTTAGGACAATTTAAAGTTATTTTTACGGTAACATTTAAATATGATTTCATTTCTCTGGTCGAATAATTATTGAACCAGAGAAATGAAATCATATTTAAATGTCATAAAAATAACTTTAAATTGTTTTAACAATAGACATTTATTTTTGTTTTTTATTCCCCGACTTCTCTCTCTTCAATCGTGTAAGACACCTCACTCCAATGTTTTTACGGTCTATTTAAAATGTTACTTCATTTTTTTTTAAATGTCTATCTTTGTATCAAATTGTCTGGCTAAATATAAATTATTTAATTAAATGTAGTTGGTCTGATATGGCAGGTGTGTAAACAGTAATTTTCATTTATTTGTAACAAAGAGTTATTTCTGATGAAAAATTGAGGACAATTTGAAATATCAAATATATATATAAATAAATAAATACTTTCATAAAATAAAACATTATTATTTTTTAATTTGAAACTTTTTCTATATATATATATATATATATATATATATATATATATATATATAATGTTCAAATAAATTTATAACCGATTATCATGACTAATTAAGTTTTTTCTATATTATTTAGTTTAATCCTAAAAATTTCAGGATCTTACTGCATATTCAAGCAATGGCAATGCTTGAACACGAGTTTTCAGCCATCACACACACACACACACACACACACACATATTTATCTATCTATCTATCTATCTATCTATATATATATATATATATATATA